GTGACATCATGGGAAATATTACCCAGAATTACTTGCAGTGTCAGGTTAAGCCATCACAGCCACAGAAACATCCACCAAAAGTCACTGAGGGTCATAAGTACATAAATTGCCTTTTTGTTAAATGAGTAAAATGTAGTATATTTTGCCAGCGTACACGGCACACTTTAATTGCTGGATTACTAAGGGTTACATGATACAGCAACGAGTTGTGGTTGTGGCTTTGTTGTGTAATGTGACAAGGCCGGGCTGAGGATTTGTGTTGTGTGTAGCCAATAATTTTACACCCACAAAAATGGCTTTTCATGGCCATAATGCTTGCAGTGTGTGATCAGGACAGCCGGCATTTAGCTGGGAGATTGGTGTAAAGCCAAGTTCCTGACTTCTGATCATGTTATTTCCTAGAGGCCGGGGATGCGACAGGCGCTGACATAAGAGGATAATCCCAGGGCTATTAAACTAAGTGCGCCCTGCCTGCGACGACCCAAACACTATTACCGCTTGGAGATTGCTTGTCCCGACCATCACAGCAGGATTTGCTCGTCGGCCAGCAGAGATGGAGAAAGCCCTTTTTCTGGATTTGGGGAAATAATAACAAAATTCGATCTCTTACTTAATGCCGCAGGCGGTTTTATTTTGGAAACATTCAGGTATCACCACGCAGAGCTGTCAATTTATCTGAAACCAGAATGGACAGCTATACTTTGCATTCTAATTGTAACAAAGAATGCTAACGGCTAAATTGTCAGCTTCTGCGATTAATTTATTGGGTGATATATTCAGGTAAATGCTGTCGATTCGGAAACGGGAAACAATTTCCCTAAACACGCACAGGGTATCTCCAATTAACCCTTTTTTATATGCTCACCCCTTCGTCACTGAAAGAGTTAAATTTTGTTCGATTATTTTGTGACACACAGCACCATTTAAGGGAATAAAATAAATGTGATGAATTCTCTTAATTTAAACCGTGGGGTGTGGGGAGTTGAGAATTATGAAAATTAATTAAAAGTAAAGTGGAACATATTATAGAAAGAGCTGGAAAAATGTACAAACAGGACATTAAGACAATGTACAAATCACAACAAGATAGAAACATTTGCAAGTGGAAGGAAAATAAAAATCTAAACAGATTTTCTAAAGTCCAGAGTCATCCAGCTTGTACGGCTTTAGTTTATGGTCTCGGGAGAAGCTCTGATATATAAATGAGCATTTTAAAGCTTTGTATTAGTTTAGTCAAAATGCACATTCTGTGATGGCGGAGTTTCATTCTGAAACCGTTTATATATTCCACTTATTATTCCTTGCTTTGCTGGAGAGCAGTGCGTGTTTGAAATACTGTGCGCCAGTCCTGTAATCAAATCCCCTTTATTTTACCTGTATTGCTGTTTATACTTGAATGCAGTAATTAAAAAAGAAACATAAATATCTCCCCAATTTACCAAAAGCTTTGTGTTGAAATGACAAAATAATGAATGCGTTTCTTCCCAAAAGTTATCATTCAAATAAGGAACAATATAGTGTCACAAATACAAACGTGTGTATGACACTACAGTGCTAAGCTAGGTATTTAGTGTCCCAGCTCACCTTCGATGGCATGGGAAAGGTTTTTACTCACTATTTTACCATGCCGTGCCAGATTCGCCACAGCTGGCTCTAAATCCGTGGCTGAGATTAACAATCTTGATGATCTCAGTCAATCCAGTGCTTTCCCATAGGAAAGCATTGGGAGGCTATTGCGCATGTCTATGGGGAGCATTCAGCATCTCCATGCAGAGTGTGGAGACACGGAATGTAGGAGCTGCTCACTGTGCAGCACTGAACTAGGAAGCACCTCTAGTGGCTGTCCTAGAGGTCATAAAAACCAGTAGCGTTTACATCATAGGCTAACCAGCAGGAAAGCGACTAATCATACATTAAGCTGTATACCATACATTAAACTGTAGTGGTTATGGTGACTGTAATGTCCCTTTAACCCCTTAAGGACACATGACGTGTGACATGTCATGATTCCCTTTTATTCGAGAAGTTTGGTCCTTAAGGGGTTAAACTAATAAAATGCAGAGATTCTTAGAATGCCCATTGGGAACTGATATTGTTACACTAGGCCCCAATTCTGCATTAATGTGACTAGTCCTGGGATGACTGAGCCCCCAACATATTTTGATAAAAGCTGACTGTCAGTTAAACAGCAGGAGGGAATAAAACAGCATGGTGGTTGTTAGGGTGCGACAGTCAGAGTTATAAACCGAAAACAAAGTAAGAGAAGTAGCACATAATACAATAAATCTAAAATGAACGGTAACACAGGGTGTCATTGCTGCGAAAAGATCGTTTAGTAGTTACAAGGCCAGATTATTTCTGGTTTGGAAATTTAAACGGCAAAGCCAAATTCAGGAGGCGGCTGTGATCTAATTTGGTTTATCCAAAGTCTTAAACTTCCTCCAATATTCATCTCTCTCAACAGTAGAAAGCATTAATCAGCTGTCTGGAGATTTCTTTTCACTTCGTGGCCCCATATGAACTTCCAGAGAGATTCAAGGTTGTGTTAATGGGACGATTCACCCACTGCCCCTGTGTCAGTTCAAGGAACTGATTTCTCTGTGTTTTATTCCCTGAAGAACCAGGCAGGGCTGTCCTCTCCCCTCATTTGTATGTTTCTTTCTCTTCAACACCCGCTGCAAGCCATCCGGAAAACAGAGGGGCTCATTCTCTAAATGCTGAATTGTAGCCAGATGAAAATTGAACTGTAAAATCTACAAGTCCAGGAGTCAACAAGACTCATCGTACAGAGTTTGTGTTGCCGAAACATTGAGGTTTATCTACTAAACTCTGAAATGTGGTGAATTTAAATCAGAATGGTGACATTTAGGGAACAAATTGTTAAAATTTGAGCTGCTTTCGAGAATATTTTCAATTCAACTATTTTTAGCAAAATATTGACATTTGGATTTTCTGTTCGCCACAATTCCAGGTTTTAGTGACTTAACCCCCCCCCCCCCTCCAATGGGAGTCGTACTTCTTCAAAACAGATGTTGTAGCACTACAACTCTTAGTATTCTTAGCCAGTCATAGGGTGTAGCTAACCACGAAACTCACCCCATTCCCAAACAAGCACATTCTGTGGTGCTCATTGTTGTAGAAACAAGCTTGTTTTATCAGATCGATGAAAGGCCAACTTGGATGGCAATCCAAGCAGCAGTCAGTGTGGATTCTGCGTCTGGAGAGCTATCCACTGAGCTATCTCACCAGCTTGACTGAACTGTCTCACCCACTTAGTTATGTAGCATTGTAACACTTTGGAGTGAAACATATTGTTGTATTGAATTCAGAATTTCCAACATGCATAATGAGAGTTAGGGAAATAAATAATGTGTTCAGTGTATTTATTTGTTTTTTACTGATGAGTCGGGAAACGTCATGCGTCCCATATGTATAATTGTTGCTGTCCCTCTGAGTTTGTGTATCCAATAGAACTGTGTAATGCCTTAAAGGGTTAACCCTCCTCTGAACCCAGACATGTGAATGAACCTCTGATCAGTTTAGGGCGACCCTATAATCTTCTAATAATCCATAATTAATAGCAGAACAGAGGGCTCTGAATGACTGCTGAGTTCATAAAACGCTGGAGCTTTGTTTGACTTTCCCAGGCACATCAGGGCCAATATTTCAAATCAAACATCACTGAGTGGGGAGTCTCCATGTTTAACGGCTCTTGTCTGTGAAGTAGTTGTTACGATTGCCTCCGGTCTAGCAGGAGGTTGGATAGCTTGGATGTCCTGGTTCCCGAAGTCAGAGAGTTGAACGGTGCTTCAATCGCTGGAAACCTGTAAGTGAAGAATATCTCACTAGCTATAATAAAGCTAGGATTCCCAGATCCCTACAACACGATTTGAGACTGCGAGTTGTGGGTCAAAAATGAACTGGCTTTAATGGCACACAAGCATGGCAATTTATGCAAGTCCAGGGACAGCCCCCCATGAACCTGATGGGATACAGGTACAGTACAAAGATTCAACCAATCATAATACAATGTATCATTCAAACTAGTACCCGCCAAGCTTGGAGATAATGAGGCCAACGGTTATACAATCTAATTATCTCCAAGAGCCCAAAAGACCATGCTTTATTGTGTCATAGAAAACAGCATAAAAACATATAACTTTGACATTTCAGGGGGAATATAGTTCATTCCACTATTCATTCGGCAGCTCAGATCTGGGCGCATCATGTATACGAATTGTGCCCAGATCCCACGAACAGAACGGGAGGTTTCTGCCATAGAAAGTCTTATTCGGTACTTTGGTGGATCACCCCTGATGGCGGCCATGTTTTGAGGCCGGTCAATGGACAGCAGGAACTAATACTCATGGAATGGGGGTCGGCTACAGAGGTGCACGAATCCCCGCTCTCAGTCTGGTTGTCCTAGCCGTTGAGGAGACGAAGGGCGACCGCCTGGAAGGGGGTACTTAACCTGCGGTAAACCGCAAGAGCCGCGTTCTAATTGATGCCACATGCCAGAATGCAGGTGGTCCTTGTTTGTGAGGCTTTCGGCTGTTTCCCTTTGGGAAATTACATACGAACGTGGGTCCCCTGGGATCGTCCATTAGTTGGTGGCTAACCGCAGACCGCAGCGCCTTGTATGGTTAATGAGCGGCACACTCCGTCCGTAGGGTGGTCGGTCATTCGGTAATTTTAGAGGTGACGGTGTTAAGTGGCGGCACATGCCAAGGACTGGGTGGTCCATCGTTCGTACAGATGAATAGGTCTTTATAATAGTTTGTGCAATGCGTTCGTATAGTCTGAATGATGACATAATAGGGGTTTTAATCAAAAGAAGGTTGTGTTGTAACTGTATATAGAGTCCTTGTAACAGTAGTATATATAGCAGGGGCGCCCAGAAGGGAAAATCACTTTGGCAATATTTCTGTCTGAGCCCAATATCATGAACAGATAACCTTCATGTACCTCTTCGTTAAACCTCAAGAGAAAGAGACATAGACATGTACAAGCATGAGGAAGGGGCATACAAGCATGAGGAAGGGGTGTACAAGCATGAGGAAGGGGTGTACAAACATGAGGAAGGGGTGTACAAGCATGAGGAAGGGGCGTACAAGCATGAGGAAGGGGTGTACAAACATGAGGAAGGGGTGTACAAGCATGAGGAAGGGGCGTACAAGCATGAGGAAGGGGTGTACAAGCATGAGGAAGGGGCGTACAAGTATGAGGAAGGGGCGTACAAGCATGAGGAAGGGGTGTACAAACATGAGGAAGGGGCGTACAAGCATGAGGAAGGGGCGTACAAGCATGAGAAAGGGGCGTACAAGCATGAGGAAGGGGCGTACAAGCATGAGGAAGGGGCGTACAAGTATGAGGAAGGGGCGTACAAGCATGAGGAAGGGGCGTACAAACATGAGGAAGGGGCGTACAAGCATGAGAAAGGGGCGTACAAGCATGAGTAAGGGGCGTACAAGCATGAGGGAGGGGCGTACAAGCATGAGAAAGGGGCGTACAAGCATGAGGAAGGGGCGTACAAGCATGAAGGAGGGGCATACCAGCATGAAGAAGGGGCATACAAGCATGATGAAGGGCGACAGACATGAGAAAGGGGCGCACAAGCATGAGAGAAAAGGGGTGTACAAGCTAATGAGAAAGGGTGTACAAGCATGAGGAAGGGGTACAAGCATGAGGAATGCATACATGAGGAAGGGGCGTACAAGCATGAGGAAGGGGCGTACAAGCATGAGGAAGGGGCGTACAAGCATGAGGAAGGGGTGTACAAGCTTGAGGAAGGGGCATACCAGCATGAAGAAGGGGCATACAAGCATGAGGAAGGGGCGTACAGACATGAGAAAGGGGCGTACAAGCATGAGGAAGGGGTGTACAAGCATGAGGAAGGGGCGTACAAGCATGAGGAAGGGGTGTACAAGCATGAGGAAGGGGCGTACAAGCATGAGGGAGGGGCGTACAAGCATGAGAAAGGGGCGTACAAGCATGAGGAAGGGGCGTACAAGCATGAGAAAGGGGCGTACAAGCATGAGGGAGGGGCGTACAAGCTTGAGGAAGGGGCATACCAGCATGAAGAAGGGGCATACAAGCATGAGGAAGGGGCGTTCAGACATGAGAAAGGGGCGTACAAGCATGAGGAAGGGGTGTACAAGCTTGAGGAAGGGGCTTACCAGCATGAAGAAGGGGCATACAAGCATGAGGAAGGGGCGTACAGACATGAGGAAGGGCTGCATAAGCACATGAGTGAAGGTGGCTGCTAATGAGTGAAGGGCTTATTGCCATTGAGGAAGGGTACAAGCATGAGGAAGGGGCGTACAAGCATGAGGAAGGGGCGTACAAGCATGAGAAAGGGGTGTACAAGCATGAGGAAGGGGCGTACAAGCATGAGGAAGGGGTGTACAAGCATGAGGAAGGGGCGTACAAGCATGAGGGAGGGGCGTACAAGCATGAGAAAGGGGCGTACAAGCATGAGGAAGGGGCGTACAAGCATGAGGAAGGGGTGTACAAGCTTGAGGAAGGGGCATACCAGCATGAAGAAGGGGCATACAAGCATGAGGAAGGGGCGTACAGACATGAGAAAGGGGCGTACAAGCATGAGGAAGGGGTGTACAAGCATGAGGAAGGGG